GGGGCAGGTTTGCAGGGCTGAACTGGGCTCTGTTGAGCAGTGGGGTGAGCACAGGGGAGAGCGAAAGGGCAGCTCCTTTTTGTGAGAAGGTGGTACCTACAACCCAGAGTGGCTGTGGGGGCTTCCAGAGACCCCCAAAGCAATGGTGTGCTGGTAAACCAGCTGGCTGGGGCGGGGAGAAAGCTCTGACTGCAGTGTTTGCTGTGCCTGTGGTGTAAATACTGCTGCCAGGGCTGATTTCAGGCCCCCACGTGACAGCACTGAACAGGCAGTGGGGACGGGCTGCATATGGGGGCTCTCCCGGACAGCAGCAGAGGCTCCAGCACCACTACTCCCAGTCACCTCGTGGTGAACTGAGTCAGGGTGGACCCTCCCCAGCTCAGCCCTGCCCCGTGTTCCTCCTCCCCACAAGCCCCCGCCTCAGCCACCCTCACCCCCACCCTGCCCTGATGCACTGGCTGCAGGGTCTCAGCTCCCCACCATCAGCCCCTTTCAATGTCTAGGAATCAATATATCCTCTCCCTCTCCTCTGGCCCATCCTCCGCTGCCCTGTGCAGCTCAACAAGATGGGTTTGGTTCTATTTCCTGAAGACAGAGCCCCAAGGCTTCCCTCGAAAACAGTTGTGTAAAAAAACATTCCTAGGCACTGCCAGAGGTGAAAACACAGGGCAGGTTTCTTTTGCTCATTTGGCCCATTTGGAAACCAAAGGGAATGACAAGGCAACTTAAGGCCCACACCCCTGCTGTCCCCGATCCAGACTGACTTCTCCATGAATGAGTTTAGGATCAACACTTAGTGGGCCGGACAGGGGCGGCATCACCCCAGGGGGTCAGGAAACGTGTAGCGGTGTTTTTTGGTTTCCACAGCGAGTGGGGGAGGGGATGCTGTGACATTAGATGTTTGGCGGCCCTTGCATCCTGCAAAGACAAGAAGTCCCAACACCCAAACGCAGACAGCTCCCTGGTGAGAAGGACTGGAAAATGTGGAGGAGAAAACGACACCGACACTGAAAGGAAATTGGTGATAAGATGCTCCTAGGTATACATTAGCCTCTTTTCCTTCCCCCTCCCCGTTGTGTATGGTTGTGAACAGGCTCTTCCTCCAGCTGATTCGAGTTATAATTGCAAATAAATCTATCTCTTGACTTTCTCTGCAGGTGCTGCCTGCTCCTTGCAGCGACCCAACACACCCTCCCGGATGCATCTCCAGGGACGCGACTGTGCCATCTCAATCCCTTCCAAGAACCAGGCTCAAGTATAGGTGTCCCCAGATCCCAAGCAGTTATTTATGTTGGGATTTATTAAAAAACAAGTGTGTTTAGAAATGCTTGGCTGCCACCTCCTCCCTTTCTGGCTTGTCAGGAAGCTGAGGTCTAGCGTCGTCTGAGGGAGTGATTCAGGCGACAAACACGCGGGTCTCATTGAACATGGGGGCCCCTGGGTTACCCTACAGAAGGCGATCCATGCTCGCCGCAGAGTGGGTGAGCTCAGGCAGGGGAAGGACGGCCCCTGGCTGGCGAGGGTGGTGCTGAAGCAGCCCTGAGCCCCTGAACAGGCACTGAGAGCAGGCATTTCTATTTCAGGTCTGAATCTGGGCTCTGCACTAATTAGCATGTTGCTTAACCTCGTTGAGTCCCAGTTTCCTGCAGAAATTCCGGGAATGCTGTAAACTTATAGTGCAAGTCACACAGATCGAGGATTAATTGGTGGCTGTTACTAAAAATGACTCTAAGGGTACCCTGCCACAGTTGCCATTGTTGACACCCCAACATCTGCTCGCAAGGTCTGGGCACAGAAGAAGACACATTGGGGAAATCTCCATGTATCCCCAGGAAGTGGAGTGATCTGCAGAATACCAAAAATGACGCTTACAGTGGCAAACACATGGTGCTTACTATGTGCAGGCACTGTTCTAAGGACATCGTTTACATTAGCCCATCCAACCTCATCACCATCCTGTGAGGCAGCACCATACTCAGCCCATTTGACAAGTGGGGAAACTGAGGCACGGAGCTGTTAAGCAGCTTGCTAGTTCAGTCGGCTAGAAAGTCGCCGAGCTGGCATTTGAACCCCTCGTCTGACTCCTGAGTCGGTGCTCTCGGCCATTACCCTATATTGTGCCTGTCAAAGCAGCAATGAGAGGGGAGCCTTTCGGTGGATTCTGGGCACTGAGAGGGATGAGGTCCTTTCATCACAGGCATTAAAATGACTCTGCTTTGCCTTGATCTCTCCTTAGAGAAAAATCACAGGATAATGGTGAAATATTAAATATTGTAATATTCCCTCTCCCATCTCTCTTTTGAAAATCTAGGCACCAAAAAACAAAGGTGCAAATCAGTGGAAGAAAATAAAGGAAAACCCAAACTAGGACCATGCAGGAACCCACTCTGCTCCGAATTCAAAATTCTCTGGAATTTTGGAAATTCCAAAATTGGAAAACAGCCACCCTTTCCTGGGGCACAGGAAGCTGGCAGCAGCACCACAGCAAGCTTCTTTTCATTTATATTTCTAGTTACAAAATTAGTCTAAGCACATTGCAGAAAATTTGGGAATCAGACTAAGGGAGAAAGAGCACCAATCCAATCCAACCCAAGCCTGGCTGCGGCGTCAGGTGTCCCCACCTTCATGTCTTTTTTCCGGGCATTTAGTCCTTGTTTCAGATCCGCCACCATAATGGACCAGTGTAGCACATCTGTTCTTAAATAAAAGAAGGGACCCCCCCCCAAGGGGCAGATGGGCACAAACACAGCACCGCCCAAGAAAAGCCAGGTAACTCCGCCAGAGGAGGGCGTTTCCCGGGCGAGCCATCAGACGACTGGAGATCAGGGGTCTGCCATGGATTTTTGATTCAAGATGCGTGGCCTGCACCTTCCCGTGCGCTGCTGCTCTATAATAAGAGTGTCTGAGATGGTGAAGAGCACTGCACACCCGGCAAGAATGTGGAACCGCATTTTCCAGAGTGCTACACCGTGAGAGGCCTGCCCGTTTCAGCCGAGCCCGCAAACACCCAGCGAGCACGACGCTCTGCTCAGGTCAGGACGGCGGTGCCGCAACGTGGCAGCTGAAAATCCTTCTCTGGAATTTGGGAAACCTGAGAAGACCTGACCCAGCACGTCTGTAGATCTGGTAAGGTGTCAAGTCTAATCAAGTGTTTCCTTCTACCAGTGGACCATCAGAGGGACCAAATAATTAACAGTAAAAAATGCCTGCTCATCCAGCCTGTGGAAAGGCCGGATTTCATTTCAGTTGCTTTTCACTGACGATGGACGCGATAAGGGGTAGTCGATTTAGAACAGCCCTTATATTGTGACACTTTGTCTATAAACCTGTAAAACTCCGGTGCAGGGCTCCCTACTGTAAAATCCCGCAAAAGTCAAGGGTTGCAAACTGGTAGCCTCTGAGTCAATTTTGCCTGGAGTTGTGTTTCGTCGGGCTGACATATCAAATAGGGTAAATTTAAAGATGAGGAGCTCTTCTGTGGAAGTTCATTATTGATTTGCTGGCCATGACTGAGTCTTAGGTGCCACTCCCCTCTTGTTTTGCTTGTAAACAAAAACGTTTCCCTTATTTTTCTCATCCAAATTCTCCCTCACAAGGAGAGGGTCCTGGTGGTACAGAGGGGAGAACACGGAGCATACACTTAATTTATGGAGTTCCTGTAAGAACATGTGAGTAAGCCTAGGGAAACTCTTCCAGACTGATCTCTTTCTGGAATTTCCAAAACAAAGGAGAGACTGAATCCCGGTAGTGGCTGGAGAGCTCAGTGTCCTCACCGTTTGCCCAGTGCCACTGTGGCCAGTTCAGACTCCACAACACAAAGGTGTGAAGACAAATTATCCCCCCAGCTCACTCCAAGCCCTGGGAAAGAAATTATTCCAATCTACCTGTCTCCCCCCACCTAGGACCCTGGGACACTAGGAAACTCAAGCTTTCAGTCGCTGTGAAAGTTAAGACACTCTCATCCCTCCCCAGGCACTTTTCTGTTCCACATGGCAGGCCCTTTGTGGGATACTCAGAGCTTATTTTGGACAACACCTTTTCAATGAGCACTTAAATTGACTGAATTATTTTATTTCTATAAAGTTTGTTTTTTGAAAAATTATTACATGATTATTATAGGAAATTTGGAAAAATACCATAATGTTTAAAGAAGAAAATGTTAATTACAATAGCAAATCCAAAGACACCGTTGTTAACATTTTCTTTCTATGCATTTTTAAAAAACATACTAGGGATTATAATGTGCACAATTTGTCTTCTGCTTTGATGCCCAGGAACATCTTAAGCATTAAACTCCTATTACTAAAACCTCTTCAAAAATATTTTAATGGCCAAAACCCCTGTATTCTATAGCTGTATAACAATTTACTAGAGATGACTGCTGGTTATCTGATGTTTCCAGTTTTTATTACTGTATTATAAATAACACTGCAGTGAACATCTTTGTTCATTAAACCCTTTTTTCCCCACATTTCTTTAGGATAGAGGCTCACACATAGAGTTCCTGGCTTAAAGAATATGACTATTTTGAAGTCTCTCCACACCCACTGCTTTGATGGAGGCTGGAAAGGCACACCTGCATTTACTTATTTTTGTCAGGTTTCCTTAAACCGTAGAGCACGGATGTGTGATAAACCAGGCGTGAGTGATATGCTGGAGCGCAACATTAAGAGGACGGGAGCAGAGAGCAGCTTTCCCATTTCCTCTCCTTTACAGGGGGCAGGGGGGTAGTTACTACAGAGAGGGCGGGAGGAGGGAAACCAGGCACAGCAACTGCAAAGAGGCCGAAAGACTTCCAAGTCCAGAAGCAACAGCAGGATGGCTGGCAGACGCATTTAGCAAACTGTCCGCAAACCATGGGGCAGGGGCAGGCGCCGGCGCCTTTCATACCACCTGTGCGTCCAAGGCCTCATTTTGTTCATTTTCATGTTTACAAGGGAAAAGACAGAACTTTTCACATTAAAACAGAGAATTTCAGACCAATAAACAGAATTTCTCACCTTTCGGAGTCTTGCAAGGAGACCTGCTACATGTTCATGCTGTTCCGATTTAGCAAGATCTTCTGCCGTCTTTCCATCCTGTTGGAGAAAAATAATTAGTCTTTTTCTTCACCACAGAGAGCTGTGTGTTCCACACACCAATCCGTCATCGGAGGCGGAAGCAAGCGTAACGGGTGTCAGAAGCAAATAAGGTGGGCAGAGAGAGCGTGCCCTGATTCTTTCACTATCTGTGCAATCTATTTCACCTGACTGTCCAGGAAAGGAAGAGCAGAAGTAGGAAGACATTGTGAATTGGGGCCCTGCGATCCAACGGTGAGCCGTCGCGGGCCCACGGGCATTAGTTAGTCCGCCGTGGCCCCTCGTGAGTGGGCAGACTCCTGTGTCCTGAGCCCCTGTCCAATCAGGCAGGAAGCAAAGTCGGTCGTCAGATGCCAGGTTCTAGTCAGTGCAGGCTCACATCTCAGAGCCCTGCGTGGACCGCCCTCAGCACGCAGACCACGCTAGTTACACGGGATTACTGTGTGTTCCAAAGAAAAGGCTGAGCTTCACACACAATTTTGATCTTCAGATTTTCGGTGAACATACAAGGAGGAAACAGGGTCCCTGGCACTTCGGCGTTTGCTTTTTAATTAGATCACTGTTGAAACGCTCCTGGCTAAGGTGAGCTGAGCACCTCTAAATCTCCGTGCCTGATCCAGCTCAGTGCTGGTGTGCGGTCATCCTCAGTCACTCCTGGGTGGCGGGAACCCTGGCTGTTCACAGGCCGCTGGGGGAAATGGAGGCTTAGGGACTGTTCTGCTGCAACTTTAGACATCATTCCAAATTTAAAAGTAGAAAGATGAGAAGCAATTTCCAAATAAATAAAAGCGATACTTTTTAAACAAGAAGAATAAGAAACATTTTGGCCTCTCTCTCCATGTCTTTCAGTAACAGTTGAAGTTCCCTTCCCATGGAAGCTTAGGGATGCCTGAAAGCTGCTTATCAGCACACCTTCCAATTTCTCAGCTCAAGTCACAATCCGAGCCACGCGCCAGTCCCATTAGAGCAGTTTCTCAGCCTCGGCGCTATCGACGCTGTGACGGGACAGTTCTGTTGTGGGGGCTGTCCTGCGCACTGTAGGATGTTTAGCAGCATCCCTGGCCTCGACCACCAGATGCCAGTAGCAATCCCCTACTTGTGACAACCTGGTGTCTCCAGACAGTGCCAAGTGTTCCCTGGGGCGAGATGCCCCAGCTGAGAACCACCGCCTGAGGCTGCCGGTCCGGGCTCAGCCGGGGCTGAAGCAGGTATCCCATGAGGGATTCTTGCCCAACTCTCCAGATCCTTCACTGACATGGTAAGAAAGGCCTGAGTTCGGCAGTTCTCAAACTCCCCGCACACTGGAACCCCCGGGTCTTTAAGAACTCCTGCTGCCTGGCTCCCCACTGGATGCTCTGCATTCATCAGTGTGGGGTGGGACCTGGGCATCGGGGTTCTGAGAGCTCCCAGGAGATTCTACTGTGCAGCAACGTTTGGGAACCGCTGTCCTACCTGGAAGAAATTTGAGCCTCGACTTAAGTTTTCTGTCTTCTGGCATGTCTGGCCATAACATTTATTTCCCTCGGAGGCCTCCGGTCTGCACATTGCACAGGCAGAGGACGCTCACTGGCAGAGTTCCTCTCCACCAAGAAGCCTCTCGAGTGACAGGAAAACTGCCATCAACAATTCCTTACGTGTGCGCAGCACTGTACAGTTTACAGACACGTTGCTCTAAAGCACACTTTTCAGGCTCCCAAAAGCAATGCCTGCCAGTGTGGTAGAAAGTTTGAACTTTGCAGTTAGAAGGACCCAGGTTTTAGTCCTGATCCTGCCCCTCACCGGTTGTGTGGTCAGTCACTCGGCCTCCCAGAGCCTGGGTTTCTTCATCTGCAAGATGGGAAACCACCCCGTCACCACACAGGTTCTTGAGCAGATTAGAGAAAACCAAATGGAAAGAACCAGTGAAGTGCTGGGCGCAGAAAAAGCAAGCAGCGGTAACTATCAATAAAAGAGCCGAGAATCTCCCCCAACTCCCTGGCTTTCCGTCCAAGAGGGAAAGTGGTAGGAAGTGGATCTGTGCATTCTGGCCTTGTTCTATTGTGAGCCCCTGAGTGAGGCGCTAACTCCATGTGCTGCGCCTGGCCCATGAGCAATCCTCACACTCACTGCCCTCTTTGTTACAAACAATGGTCCAGGAAGGCCTAACCGAGAAGGTGATATCTGAGCCAAAAACCCGAAGGAAGTGAGAGCAAGCCATTTGCATACCTAGAAGAAGTTCTGCAAAGAACAGCAAGTGCAAAGGCCCCAAGGCAGCAGGATGACTGTCATGTTTGAAGAATATCAAAGAAGCTCATGTGGCTGGTGCAGGGGGAGCAAGTGATGGGGTCAGGGAGGCAATGTGAAGGCCAGATCTTTAGGGGTGCCCCCATCATAAGGACTTTTACCCTGCTGGAGGGTCCAAGCAGAGGAGGGACGTGATCTGACTTATGTTTGAACAGGTTCACACAGGGTGCTGTGTGAGGAACAGACTGTGGACAGGTGAGGGTGGAAACAGGGAGACCAGTGAGGAGACTAGGACAAATTACAGAAGATCACGGCCAAGGGCTCACAGCCTCATGGGAGAATCAGAGTCAATTCCAACAAGGCAAGAGAGTGGGGCAAATCGTACCTGCTGAAGGGGGCTAGGAAAGAGGAGGCTTCCTGGGGCTCCAGTTGAATGTGGAAAGATCAGGAGTTAGTGTCCCGGAATCTTCTTGCCACTAACCTCATCTGCTGCTATGTGCCTGGCACCTGCTCTCAGGCATTACAAGTCTCTCACTATGAAGGCGAGTGTGTGTGTGCACGTGTGCACAGGTGCTGTTCTTAGGCGTTAAGTCTCTCACTATGAAGG